CTATTACTTTTATGGAACTATTAAAACTACAGGATAAAAGACTCCGATAACCCTATTCCGTTTTCCTGTATTCGAGGATAGCACCAGTATGAGGAAAGATTTGCAGCTGGTCCGCTAACGGGGAGCCAAGGAAAAACCTTTCGAAACCTGGGTGACCGCGAGTGGTGTCCAGGTCTCTTACCTGCACCAGTCGGCAATGGTGCTCTATAGGTGCGATGGGAAGCATGCCTGAACTTGGGGACTCGAGTATTCCGACAACCTTCGTGGATCAGGCAAATTAATATCTAACGGCGAAATCGGGCCACTAGTCGCCGCTTTCTTTCGAGTTCAAAGTGAAGAAAAGAAAAGAGCCGATGTTTTTCAACTCTCTGATCCAATGAACTTCTACTAAGCCACAAGCCAGCCCTGAGTTGTTGGAATGAACGGATCTTCTTTGCTCAGGGGACTACAGCCTGGAGGAAACCCCTGTTCAGAAAGGACATGGTCTCGGATTTGATTTTACGCTTTCTCATTGAAGACAATCACGCAGTATACACTGCTATGTGGCCACCATACCCTGGTGTTTCAATGCACAATTCATAGAAGTTCTTGCTCTTTCGCAAAGGGTTGGAGCTTTGCCAAAGATTCTCTGACTGAGGGGCTCCAGTAGCTGGATGAACAGAAGAGAGGTGAAAAATGAACAAGTTCACCACAAGTTCATGCTCCACTTTTTTTGGAGCATTCTCGAGCTAACCACTAAAGACATCTTCCTCGTTACAGCTGTGGAGTCAGTCAAGTGTAGTGGAATTAACAGCAAAGCTCACGTTGATTTTGACTTGTTTTTGATTGTTAACTGCTGTTTTTGGCCGCAGTTCGCCTTGCGAATGTTTCACAAGAATGCTGGGTTGTGAACAAAACTTTCGCCCCAGGCAGGCGGGACTAGAACCCGCACCTCTCGCTTTTGGGGGGCACGCAGGGCGGCTACCCTTACCCTCGTAAACCCACGGGGGCAGCCATTTCATTCCAACTCAGCTTTTTGATAAATGGTGGGCCCGCGCTAGCGTGAACTGTAGCCGCCCTTGCCCGCAAAGCGAGAGGTGCTGGTCTAGTCCCGCCCAGCAGATGCTTCTTCATCCGAACCATTCTTGTCGAACACCACAGTGAAAACATTCATTAACCGTCCTCAAAACTCGAAAAATTCATGTCCGTCCCACGGCAAAGGAGACGCACGGCGTTTGAAAGTGACCGCGACTGTAGATATTCAAAGCTTTAGCTGAAAAAGCCACTTTCGCTTTTATCCAGCGTGCAGCGGTAGTCATCCGTCATTCGAAGAACTTCTGTGCTTCTTGTACAGCAATTATCCTGCGTACCTGCGGACAAGGAATACGATTCCATCGACACCTCAAAATCGATTTCAGCTCATAACTGCCAGCCATCTGGAAGTTGAGCGGGTGCACTGCTGTTGGTCGTTGGCAACAAGTCACTGGTAGCGATGGTGCATTTTTTGATGACAGATAGCACACGTGCTCGGAATGGAGTAGATTAAAAAAGAAGTTCGAAATATGCACGAACCTTTGAGACAACCTAATCAGTAGGCTTTCATCTTTTGCGGACAATTGGTCAGTAATGCCTTGTAAATATTCTATGAAGGTTGACGTTGCCTTCGAGTGGGCTCAAACCTGATAGGGTATAGGCTGGGTATGCATTCAAATGCCTGCAGATCTTCTCATAAAAGTCGACCGCGTGGGATATCCGAAATGGACCAGTAATTATTGTAAGATGAGCCAAAAATTCCTTTCATGAACACACTGATCACTTCATTATCTTTTTCACGCCTTCTGGCATATCATATGGTTAAAAGTAGGCGATAGCAAGTGGCTACGCTACCACACCCACCAGCCCAAAGATTGAGTCTTTAGTTTCTTGGTAGGCTTGAATGTTTTCCCCTTGAGTCGAGCATGGCAGACACCTAAATAGAAAAGAGTGTTTCAATTTTAATCATAACTTTGTGTACGCCATGCATGTCTTCCTCAGAATCGTTTCAAAAAGGAATCTTCCGCGGAAAAAGCTCCGCCTCCATTACCACAGAAAAACGATACCCCTTAGGCCCCTAGCCTCATGAGCATAGCAAAAAGAACGGAACATAAGGCGTTAGTTTCGATAATAACAGGGTGGTCCAAAATTATTAGGACCAAGACATTGTATCTTTAAAAACGCATAGAAGTTTGATGGAACAGATCAACTTCATAGAAGTATTTCTAACTCTTCCCTCGAAACAATTCCAGAATAGAATTGAGATCTGCCACTGCCCCGTTCACACGAGCCTTCAGATGAAGGGGATGGCGCGTGCGCTGGCACGCAACTGAGGCGTGTCCAAATGTTTCCAGGCCTTCTGCTCTGCCTTCTTCAGGGAATCAAAGCTTTGTGGGGCATTTATTTGCGCTTGCATCCAGGGTGTGAAATACAGAAATCTAGAGCTATCAGGTGGAAGGTTCCATTGTAACAATTCTTCGAAAGCAACGAACTCGAAAAATCGCTTTTTGGAGAATTTTTGCTTTATTCTTGGGTGCTCGGTCCTGTAAGAAGTTCTAAGTAGACTACTCGTGTGGCTTTCTATCCACTACAGATGTGGAGTCTTTAGAGTGTCTGGCTGGGTTTTCACATCAATTTTTTCATTTTGGGTGTACGAAAGTCGACAAGGGGAGACCTAGTTTCTGCATCTGATAATTATCCTGGTGGTAACTGTAACTTTCGAGTCCCCGAATTTTCCATCTGTGGTGTTCCAAACTTATTGAAGAGTTGAACTGTTGCTCATAAGGGCTTCCCTGATAGGTTAGACTGCTGCTAGATGTAACGTGCCAGAGCCCCTAGTGAGTTCAATTTGAGGACTGACTCAAAGTGAAGTAGTTATTTCACTAGTTTTGAGAACTTCATGAAATTGGTTTCATTAGGAAGAAGACAATTGTACCCTCTCACATAGTGCACAGAAAACGAGATGAAAATGGAACGATACGGAAAAAGTAGGGGTGACTGCGCGCGCGATCGCCGTAGGATGGTCGGTCGCACATACAGCGCGCACCAGTAACAACGTAGGCCCACCACAGCGTCCTCATATATTGGAACAGCAACGCCTGTACTAATCCATACACACAAGACAAATGCCCTCTTTCCGTGGGAGATTCCTTTTGGGGCTTTCTGTGGTAAGGGGTGGAGCCTTTTCCGTGGATGATTCCTTTAACATGTGCTGCCCTCTAATAATAAAGGATAAAGCATTTGCCGTTGATCAATCCCTTTTTGGGATGCGGCACGCATTCTACTTCCATTTGTACATTCGCAGTGGCATTTGAATGCGATGTGGCCTATACAATGACTTGCGGGGGCCAGCCGATGTTCAAGTCAGTGTTTTTTATCCTCCCAGACAAGTCTGGTACCAATTAACCGACCCCGGAGGGATGGAAGGCTTGGTTGGGCCCGGGCGACTCACCGGCAACCTGCATGATTATGAATTCTTCCGTGCGCGTGGTGCCTCGCGGGTGGTAAGCGCTGCCACTTGTCACTACACATCCACTTCCCGGTGCATAAATGCCCCTTGTCAATCAGCCACATTAGTGTATGAAAGATTAATAAGGTGCTACGCGTTCAATTTGACTGTCACCTCATCACATTAGTATAGGTGCCACTAAAGAATAAACTGGTATTCGCAAATGCCATGATTGTTTCGCTGGTAGGCCATGCCTTTTCACAAAACTGATTGAGGCTATAGAAAGCAACGCCGAAACTTTGGTAAAATAGACATCGTTGCATTCACCAGCTCAAGCCTAATTAAAGAGAAGAGGTAAAGTCTGGTACCGGAGTCGCTATTCACGCTCATGTGGATGAGAGTCACAGTTGCCGCTGAGCTAGGGTTCGATCTTGCAACCTTCCGTCAAACATGGGATGTCATTCCGTTATCTCCCCTTAAAGAGCAGACACAGCTCCAGACAGTTTTTGCCTTCGACGTAATGCGATAGACCTAGTCAAGAGCATATAGTGTGATCTCGAAATAAAAAAGAAATCTCAGGCTAAAGCCGATGGAAGGGAGGGCTGAAACGGCTCGATTATTGGGCGTGTTGGAAGAACGGCCGAGGGATTTGTCAGCCTGCTGGGACTGTTGTTCTAACAAATCTCAGCAACTGCGCTTAATATCGATTGGAACCACGGAATCATTTGCATAACACTAAATTTGAATGTGTTTTCATTTTTTGCGAGAATTTGACGGCGCTCTTATTGATGGCAAATAAGCGAAAACTTTGAAGTGGAATAGAGATCATGAAAAAATTCAACGTAAAGCAGAATTATGCAGACTCTGGCTTGGCCAAACACCAAGGAAGCTTGAGAACACTTTCAAACACGTGGGTTTAAAGCTGGAACTACCTTGGAACAACACTCAATCTTTAACAAAATAAAGCTACAAAGAAAAAAGTGACGAAATTCCTTTCAGTATAAAAAGGAGATATGGAGGTTAAGGGAGAAGAGGTAGAAATAAGCGAACACAGGCAAAAGTTGAAACACGGAGATCAAAGAAGGCAACGACAATAGCACTTTGAAAACTCAACAAATAAACTCCTGCTTCTTGATTGTGCTCAATAAAGTCAAAAATACAAAAGTGACATCAGCGGAAACGGATAACTAAGTAAAAACTTAGAAAACGAAGAAAACCGCAAAACTAGACAATAAATGTACAGGCAGCGCTTCGTGAGCAGGTAGAGCTACCTGGTACAGCCCACAGTCACCATTGGTGCATGAGTATACCCCTGACAGCCAAAATTGACAAGCATGGTACACGCACTGATGGGCGAGTGTGTGTGCTAACAAACAGTCTCACTCACAAATTCGGCAAGGCTAAACCCTTTCACATAAAAAAGTTTAAGGTTCAGAGAGAAAAAAGTCATGATTAAGAAGATTATTCACACTGACTGAAGAAATTAAGTCAATGCGAAAACGACGTAAAGTGCTGGAGCTCGAATAAAACAATTGGCTCATCACAACCGATCCGGGGAATGCTTGCGTTTGCGAGTTTTCGCTTTGTCCACAGCTCCTTCATCCACTACTACTGTGATCTCCTGAGGTACTACACCTCCTATGAATTCCGCCACATTTGGAAAGTCGGCGACCTTGAAAACTGCTATATAGTTTTTCCTTAATTATCCATATCTTTAGAACCGGTCAGGGCTAAACGTATAATCACCATCGAGAGCTAATTTAGGCTGCTTTCATAGTTCGCATCGGTGCGGTCGGTGCCGACGGCGCCGACGGTGCCGACCGCACCGACAGTGTGAAGAGCGTCAATACGCACTCTGGCGCATGACGCGAACGTTGGGCGCAGATCGCGCGCTCCGATCGATAATCCTGGTTTTGGTGTATTTCTTGTGCTTTTCGATGTTTTTTTTCGCGCGTTTTTTCGTTTTTTTTTAATTCGTGTGTTTCCTGTTCATACTTATTCTTTTATGGGCGCAATGTGGCTCGGGGGGGGGGGGAGGAAGTCGGTGCGCGGCTCAGCGATGTAGTGTAACTCGAACATTCCAGCTTTTCACGGGACATTTCAGCTTCTCACGCATGCTAAGTGACTGCCCTCACCCCCCTTGAATTGGCCACACCCCCCTGGCTTGCGAGTTTCCTGTTGCCACAACGCCCCGCGCGACGGCTGTCCCCCCCCGAGCCACATTGCGCCCTTTTATGACTTTATTAATACTTTCCAGTTGTTCCGCGGGCGAGCGACGTCGTGAACCCGTCGCACAACTCCGGGTGGATGTGGCCATACCGGGTGTGTTGGTCGTAAGCAATTTTGTTTATTCATATGAAGTGAGTGCAAAAAACATCGAAAAAATGCAAGGGCTCCCCCACTTTCTTCACGATTTGGGGCGCGGCCGCGGCGAGCGCGGACGAGTCGATAGTGCCCGCGAACTGTGGTGGTGATGCGTTTTCAAATTTACCCACACAGTTCGCGGGCACTATCGACTCGGCCGCGCTCGCCGCGGCCGCGCCCCAAATCGTGAAGAAAGTGGGGGAGCCAATACAAGAAATACACCAAAACCAAGATTATCGACCGGAGCGCCCCATCTGCGCCCAGCGCACGCGTCATGCGCCAGAGCGCGTGTTGACGCTCTTCACACTGTCGGTGCGGTCGGCGCCGTCGGCACCGACCGCACCGATGCGAACTATGAAAGCAGCCTACCACTGCCAACTTGCTGAGATCGCGAAACTTCGCGATAAAAGAGTACCTTAGTCAATATGGAAGTTCAACATCTATAATAACTATTTTTGAATTAGTAAAAGGGAAAAGACCGTGCCCACGACAAAGAAGAAGAAGAAACTCACTTGAGCGGTTATAATACGCGAGTTTTTCGGATGGCAGGTGAGTCAGGGAAACAACGGGTCTAATAGTGGAAGAAACAAGGAGGGCTGAGAGGCAAGACTACAGAAGGAGAGCATGACAGGGAACGAGACGGCAGAAACCACAACGGTGGGCGCGCGTGGTTTCTTCAATGTGTCCATAGTTACCAATTCGAAGCCTCTAACGCCTTTCGAAGCGATTTGAATGCTAAGAGACGGTATATCTACCATTACGGATTAAAGAACGTTATTTGTGGAAGGGATGGATTGTACTAGTGGCAAATGAGCTTTGAAACGTTTGTGAGGCCAAAACAGGAAACGAAAGCTTGTAAACAACTGATAACCTACCATCTCCTCAAGTTTCCAATTATCTTCCAACTCTAGGTGTTTCTCTATCTCAGGATTATCTTCGAGCAGTGTGAAAAGTCGCATGGTGCAGATATCACGTCGCAACGCCTCATAAAACCTAATTCAGGCAAAGTTTAAAGAAATCTCACTATAACATTTTTCGGCGACACATAAAAACAGGGATAAAAAACTTTAATAGATATCATGCCCACAATTTTTGCCAGCTATCAACAATATTCATTTCATTACAAAAACACAATTACTGGTGAGTTGTAGAAAAAAGGCGTGTATAAGGGGCTTTGTGGCTCTTGTGATGGCCACAGCTTAGCGTGGTCGCAGCCGGCTGCCCATGTGGAAGATTCAGCAGTCTTCGTGGCAGAACGTCTTCCTTTCATTTATGACTGACAGTCGGCCGACCGGATACAGCTAACACGGAATCCCTATATCCCTAACGGTTTTTCCTCTGATCTTGGCCCATGAGCCAGAGTGATACCCCACGCCCCGCCGAGTGACTTCCTCAGGAAGCGAGAAAGAGTTCGTCGTTTGCATCAGGAGAGCGGGGTTAATATTGGGAATTAGGGAGCTAAGCAACTGACAAAACTTACTCCTTTGTTCAATAACAGCAAAGCCAGAGCACCCGCATTTCAACCGTCCAATTTTGTGAAGACTGTCTGTGGCTTTCGAATTGTGGATTAAATTTTCCTAAATAAGGAATTTTCAAACTCAACTCCGGGCGTCCTCTCCCTTGATAATGTCTTGAAGCGAACGCCAGCGCTCGATCGCCTCTTAAAACTAGGTGAATTTACGGTAAGAATTTTTAACTATTCGCGCCATTCTAAATAAACAACCTGGGATAGCCTCCGGGAAGGACACGTTTTCCGGGTTGCACTTTGAAATTGTTGAACTTTCGAAATTCATTAAAGTAATAGCCGCCCAGCTCTTCTCAATATCAAATGTAAAAACATCGCTAGCGCTGAAAGGTGAGGAACAAGTTGAGCGCTATATGTGAGTGAAAAAAATCAGGGGCTAAGAAAGGAAAGACTCGATTCAATTTATTCTCGAAATAGGAAAAACTCTTACACTTACAATTTCGCAAGTTTATCTTTGATTCTAGCAGGAAGAGGAATATTCCAAGACCGTGCTAGATGTCCAATGACTAACTGTGTCATTATACGTGTTCCTATACAATCTGAACACCCATCTTTTCTGAAAGAAAAAAATGAGGAGGTAAATTAATTTTGGGATAGCATGATAAGAGGCAACTCACACACGGTATGCGTAGAGAGCTTGATTTCGCATATAAAAGTTTATGTCAAGTACATCGTAGCCAGCTGCCCGGAACAGTTGCGAGGCACGGTAATTGGCATCAACAATCATCATTCTGAAATGATGTCTCCTTCCACTTCATTACCACGCTTTCGACTTAATTATCACTCATGTCTTCCCCGAACTATGAGACGTGACGAATCCTCAACATTTTTGCAGCTTTTCATATATAATCTGGCTGTTAGAGTGGAACAGGTTGAACAAGGTGCAAAAACCAAATTACAAAAGGGTCAATTCTAACTATTTCTGCAGTCAAGCGACTGCAAACCGTAGTGCTTGGTGGAATTCTAACTATTTCTGCAGTCAAGCGACTGCAAACCGTAGTGCTTGGTGGTTGCAATAGAAAAATATGTTAACTAGGGCCAGTCATTGTAGGAAAATACAACAGATTATACATCTCACCTGTTGAGATACCTCGTGTCACTATTGTCAACTCTGTTCAAAATCGACCGCATGTCTGAGGGAATAGGCCACGGCATATTTATCCAAATAACCTAAAATCAACGGTTTGTTTCATGGAGTCTAACCTCGCAACCCAAAAACACTACCTGTGTAGTTGGTGGCATGATCAAGCGGAGACGCCGGATCAACATCGAGACCCTTCAACAAAATTCGTAACAAAAGGCACAAGCGATTATTGCATAAAAACGCCAAGAATAAGTTAAAAACTACTATGAGCTCGCACGAACCGTTCCAGAAACTCTTCGAGAGCTGCACGCTCGACTCCTGCTTGCCTGTTAATATGAGGAGGAACATCTTGATCGAAAGCCCTCGAATACCTTAATCGTTGATAATGAGGCACTTTCCCAAAGAAACCTACTTTTCGATCTTGAACAACAACAGAAGTCAGGTTTAACGTTGTACATCCTTGTTCCAACTACGTGAAGTACAAGACTTTGCTCGTACTTGTGGAATGATAAGAACAAAAAATTAAATTACGGAAGGGATGTGATACAAAACCTTCTTCGCACTCCTATGAATCAAATAAGCCTTTCACATAGACTTAACATCAGTGTGTGATCCATTCACAACTACTTGTCAAACTAGTACAGTTACTCCAAGTAACCTCAATCGGTATTTCGACCAACTCAATTACCCTCTATCATTTTTCGTTGCGCTTGTGAGCACATGAAAGCAGTACATCATAAACTCATCAGGACCAGACATTCGCTCTATCTCTCTCCCTCACACACTTCACCTCGTCTCATGATTTACTTCTCTTATGAACTATTCCTATTCACGATTAGGCATTAAATACTTCCATCGCATTCCCTTATGATACCTCTTATTATGCTCTCTTGTCAATCTCCATTACAATTTCACAACTATTCCTCCGCGGCTGCACCTCCCTAGTCACTGTGTAAGCCAAGTAGCATTTCAAATGCCAATGCCAGCACTTCAATTGCGTGAAGTTAGGATGCGTGGCGCATTCCAAAAGAAAATACGATAAACGCCGAATTTCTTAGTTTTGTTTCTACTGTTTACATTGCACCACAGCTTAATCGCACGCATTTTTTTCAAGACTTTTTCTGCAGTATTACCTCTTTCACTTTTCGAGCCATGCTTCCTTCTTCGAAAGTAACGACCAGTAACCAGAGACAAATTGTTTAAGCGTAACAAATGCAAGCTACAAAACACTACATTGTGTTCATTCGTGTTTCTCCCGCATTTAAATCCTCTGCTGAAGGCCACAAGGCCGCCTGCCACGCTCTAATTGCAAGCCGCGACGCAGCCGCCGAAAGATCGATACGAAGCGGCGAAGAGCTCCGAGCAATTGGAGGTAAGCACTTCATCAAAATGTCGTCGCTTGTAGATCAAGACGGCTCTTCTCAATGTCCTCCTACTACTTCTGCTCCGAAAGCCGTCACTGTTACTGCAACTTCATATGGTTCTGCGGTATCGACTAGTGTGGAGGATTCTGCTAACCAAGAACGAGTCGAGGAGCAAGAGGAGGAAGCCGAAATGAAGTACGGTGCTCGCCATGTCATTAATCTCTTTGTTCCGGTCTCATTGTGTATGGTTATGGTAGTGTTCACCATGAACACGGTCACATTTTATTCGCAAAACGACGGTCGTCATCTACTTTATACACCTTTCGTCAAGGAAACGGACAGCGCCAGCGAAAAGGTCCTTATGTCATTGGGGAACGCTCTGGTCATGTTGTGTGTTGTTGTAGTGATGACTGTCATTCTAATCTTCTTTTACAAGTACCGATGTTATAAGTTGATTCATGGATGGCTCATGGCTAGCAGTTGTCTGTTGTTGTTCTTATTCACAACTATTTATCTTCAAGAGGTTATGAAGAGCTTTAACATATCATTGTCCGTAATAACTGTCACATTCTTTCTTGGTAATTTTGGCGTGCTTGGCATGATGTGTATTCATTGGAAAGGCCCTTTGAGGCTGCAGCAATTCTATTTAATCACCATGTCTGCTCTTATGGCTTTAGTGTTCATCAAGTATTTGCCGGAATGGACAGTATGGTCAGTTCTGGCTGTCATATCCATTTGGGACCTTATCGCTGTGCTGGCTCCTAATGGTCCTCTACGTATTCTCGTCGAAACTGCTCAGGAGCGCAACGAACCGATCTTCCCAGCGCTAATATATTCCTCTGGCATGGTCTATTCCTTTGTCTTCACTGGTGCACTAGACGGCGACGACAACCAGATCCAGCCTCAACTCCAACCGAGCTCATCTGACGACTCGACGCCTTCAGTGAGTGGACTGCTTACAAACAATACGGCTACTAAAGTGAAACGATTTGCTCCTCTTCGACATTCTGAAAGTGCTGTCGAACATATCGCTCAGGAAGCAGCTCGTTCGCTCAACGAATTAGCGACTGTGGCACAGAACATCCGAGTCCAGCCTAATCTCATGCGGGGTGAACGTGAAGAGAAAGGCGTAAAACTCGGCCTTGGCGACTTTATTTTCTACTCGGTATTGGTGGGAAAAGCGAGCAGTTACTTCGACTGGAACACTACCGTCGCCTGCTATGTGGCAATACTGGTCGGTCTTTGCTTTACACTTGTGCTTCTTGCCGTTTTTCGCCGAGCTCTCCCAGCTCTACCGATCTCAGTATTTGCTGGTCTACTCTTCTATTTCTGCACCAGATGGATCGTCACTCCATTTGTCTCGCAACTTACTCGCCGTCAGTTGGTTTATTAGAAGAATTTATTGCCATGTTCTCATTTTCCTATCGTTTGCTGATTTATCGAGAAGCTCTCCTATCTTGTTGTATTTGTTGCTATGTCAATAGTGTTCATCCAAATATATGTACATTGATCGTCATATACGGATTAAAAAAATCTGAATGAACCCTGCCTGTGATGCTCTATTTGAAGGAAGTGAATTTCTGAAGTGACGGTACCGCTAATAAGGCTAGCAGGAAATTTATGAATCGTTACCATAACTACGGTGCTTGTTACGATTATACTTGGGCGTATCATTAGCCTGCGCGACATTATTTCATTAGTAACAGTGTTTCATTTGATGACTGTTCGATACGCAGCGATGCGTTCATTGATGCTTAGAGTAGCTGCATGCAGTTCAGTTGGTCTTTGAGGTACTGTATGCAGAGCATCTGCTAGTGGAGCAGCTTTAAGGGCCGGCGGTTTAATGACGCGGCACGGAATCAGTTTGCTTCACATAATGCTGATAATCCATTCAGTTTAACTGTCTTTACCAGCACTAAAGCTGCTTAACATCTTAGGAAACCCACCTTGTCATGTCCCACAAACATGAGTTAATCAGTATTACATCCGGGAACTCGTTAGCAGAACATAGTTCCAGCAGTGCCGTATCTATGTCGTCTTTCATGATCCTAGAACAGAAAAAAAATTCGAGGAAAAACAACCTAAGCGCGGTGTAATCAAACTTGTTCACCTCGTTGTGAACAGATATTGAATCAGGAAATAGTTTGTGTGGTACTCTCGTGCTTGTCTGAAGACGCGGTCCTTTTCGAGTGGAAGGAAGTCTATCTAAAATCCATCTTGTAGATAAGTTACAGAAAAGTAAAAACAGGTGAAGCAGTGAACCACTACAGTACTACGTTATATTAGGGCTGTTTAACCTTTTTTTTACGATCGTTTGGCCCGCAAGTGGGCTACACTTCACTGCGGGGGCCCTTTTTCGTGGTTTATTTTCACGTTTCAAAACTGCCCATGTACATTATTGGATAAGCGAAACAATGTGACATTTACTAATAATGAAACTGTTGTTGGAGATCTCTTTGTATTGTGCTGTCCCGGAGCCTCATCAGGGCCTAAATCTTGTGTAACACAAAGAGGCACCAAAATTTTATTTCAAAAGAATTCCAAAGCTTCACAAAATTTTTCAAGTGTCCGAAAAAATTCCAAAGGAATTCTTTCCAGCTTGCTTTTTTGGTTTTTGGAATCTTGGAATTCTTTTGAAATAATATTTTTGTGCCTCTGTGTTATACAACATTTGTTGTTGGAGAGTTTGTGATTATTGATGAAAAAAATTAAAAAGAAATGAAGTGACGCACACTCAACGGCGGTCGTCAAAGGGTTAAGGCTTTGTTGAGTCCTAGAACGAAGGGACATACCTGTCGATCACCAAAAAATTGGTTCTCCGTCTTGGCTTTCAAGCTGCTATCATCAATGAGCTCACCTCCGTGCAACATTACGAGTAGATCCTTGTAAATTCCTCGCATCACTAAAAACGAGGAAAACCATCAAAGTGAGGCTGGTACTTACTTTTAGCTCGGTAAGAATAAAAAGGTGAAGCGAGCGGCGTTAATCAATCTTTTAATGAAATGCGTCATCCTACTTCACACATCCTACTTCAATTGAGAACCGCAAATGCATTTGGATAGGGTTTGGCCAGACTTCAAGCCCAGTCAGAATAATTTTTAATAATTTTTATCCTCCCAAATAAGTTTGATACCAATCAATCGAGCGCGGGGATTGGAAGGCTTGATTTGCCTGGACGACCACTTCCGTCTCCTGTGAGAAATAACTGATAATTTTTGACGTAATCTTGACCTGACAACAAATAGAAGTTACCTAAAAACAACAGTTGAGCCTGCGAGCGATTGGGTAACTTCCGGCCTCTAGGTGCCGAGTGCAGCCAGTCCTCACAAAGAGCGTTCGGTGAAGGGGGCGCAGATTGAGGGTGATGCCCTACTTCAAGGTGGGATAGTCTGTTTCACATTGAGCACACCAAGAAAAGCTGTCCGTTCCTGTGCATGTATATTTCGAGAGCAGCACTTTCCTTGGTTTCCACAGTGTCCTTTCCTTCTGAGCGATCTCAACTCTTCATAAAATTATCAGATTCTCGGCAATCATTTCAAGGATGCTGGTAATTCATCAGAGCAATTTTGAGCTTTTTTGGCCTTTTTTTCATTGAACGTAAACAAATGCAGACTGGCTCGGCGTTTCCTGCGCATTATAGCAAAAAGAAAATCCTGGCAGAGGTAACAAATATGGCTATAACTAGATCAGCCACTGATGAGTTGTAGATGTAGACCAAGCTGTGATTAAAAAAAAGT